GCAGCCTCCTGATTTCTCCCCAGCTTTCCAACTCACCCTTCGTTTTTTCCACCCTCTTTATCACCTGCACCTGGTCCTATGTTAGATCCTGAACTCCCAAGTGTGCAGGTGGATCTGATCACACTGAGGCCACCCTGCTGTAGCATTTTGGGAAGGATGAGTGTTTTGTTGGATCTACACCATGCCCAGGACTTGTTTTCCTCACACTGCAGCAGCACAGGTTATTTGGGATGAGAAGGATGCCCAGGCCTGCCCAGCGCTGTGGCCAAAACTCAGCTGTGTCCTGGCTGTGAATCCTTTGCCCTTCTTAATGCAAGGTGACAAAACACTTGGCTGACAGCAATGGATTCATTTTTTTTCCCCTGCAAATTGGCTATTTCCCACGTCTTTGGCCCAGCCCTGAAGTAGAGACTGATCCAAGCAGAGCAAAAGGAAGGGATGTGCTGTCAAAATAACAAGCAAGCCCAAGCCAAATGCCAGACTCCTCTTTACTGAGGCAGACTAAGCTGAGAGGTCGCTGGCAACTGGCTCTTTTCCTCGGAGGAGCAGAAATAATCCTGCTGCACCCAGCAGTAGGGAAATTCTGGAGGTGAAAAATCAGAATTTAGAGTCTGATCCAAGCAACGAGCAGCACAGCAGAGGAGCTGCAGGGTTGAGGTACAGGCAGCTGTCCTGGCAGCCCTTTGCCAAGTGCTTCTCCTTCCAGCACTGCTGACAGGAGACATTTCAGAATCACAACCCTGGAGCTGTGATTACCTTAAATCCTGATGAAAATCTCTCCTGTGGGAGCATTTTATTTGCTGCCTGGTTGTGGGTCCACGGCAGAGCTTCAGGATGTGTTTTCCTGCAGGCTTGGGGGTGGATGAGCAGAAGAGGACGGGACAGATGCAGATATTCCAAGGCACGTAACAAAAGTCTGGTGCCTTTGCCAAACTTTAAACATCCTCGGTTTTGTGCCTAAGGATTGCCTTTTAACTTCAGCAGAAAGACTTCAGCCTTTTGTTAAGATCAAGGGGAAAATCTTTTTTTCTGGCACCAAGAGGAAATACTCTTCAAACTCGTGAGGTTCCAGAAATCCTGCAGATACTCCCAGCACCAGCCAGTCAGTTCTTTACAGCATCCATTTGCTGAGGAAAATGCCTCTGAGAAGATACAGAGTTTGCACATTTTCAGAATATTTCTGTGATTTGGCTGGTTGAATCCGACCCAGGATCCTGCCAGGATGCAGGGCTGGGGAAGGATTTGTTCTCCAGCCACTCCAAGCAGCTGTGAGGACAGCAAAGATGGGCACAGGGACCATCTCTGCCCCCTGAAAGCAGTACTTTGCCTGCTAAGGGCCGTGCAGTTTCAAAGAAAAGCCACTGAAGGAAATTGACCATGAATTTCCATGCAGCCTCTACGAAAACAAATGCAATTTTGGACAGGGAAGGTTGGTTTCAGATTTATAAGCTCCTTCTCCCGTGCTAAGTGCCTTGAATGCACAAAGCTACTTTAAATATCTCCCTTTGGCATGGGAGGGATTTCTGCTGTGCTCATTCCTCACATTTCCAGCCAGCTTCACTTCCAAAGGATGCAGCTGTAAAGCCCTCCTGAAAACCCCTGGACCCCTGTGACACTCCCTGTGTGTGATTCCCTTTTTAAGCTGCTCCTTTAGGACCTGGCTCAGCTCTAAACCAGGGCTCAGTTTTGGGATTTCACACCACATCCTGAAAGCGTTCTGTTACGTGCTTAAGGAAGGGAAAATTCCTCCAGAAGGCACATTTCTGTTTCCTGGCAGGGAAATATGAGACTGGCAGCTCAGAAGGGCATCAAGGCAAATCCTCCGAGGAGTCAGTGCTCTGGTCTTTGGGATGGGTGGTGAGGGAGATGCTGCAGGTTCCTACAAGAGTGGGATCAGGAGGAATAGGTTGATTAATCCTTAAACTCAGCACCAGCCTTGTCCAAGAAAAAGTGCTGTTCTGTTCTCCCTGTAGGCAGAAAAAACCACATTTCCCTCCTCCCAGGCTCACAGCGGGGAAGTATTTGCTGGAGAAACACTTTCCTGAGCAGTCCAGGTGACCCAGACATGGCCTTGGGCACTGCCAGGGATCCAGGGGCAGCCACAGCTGCTCTGGGCATCCTGTGCCAGGGCCTGCCCACCCTCACAAGAAGGAATTCTTTCCCAATATCCCATCCATCCCTGCCCTGTGGCAGTGGGAGCCATTCCCTGTGTCCTGTCCCTGCATGCCTTGTCCCCAGTCCCTCTCCAGCTCTCCTGGAGCCCCTTTATGACTTGAGCTCTCCCTGGAGCCTTCTCAGAGATGTCAGGCCATGTTGGATGTTCCCTTCTCTGCATCTGCTGCTGCACTCATGGGCAAGACAAGGCAGGGTGAGGTGCCAGCACAGCAGACTCCCCCATGGCTTTTTTGTGGGGGCAAAGCGAGGAACCCCTGCTCAGCTGCCACATCTGGATGGTGGACACCGAGCAAGGCCGGGAAATTCTCAATTCTGCAGAGAGAAAATACAGGCTGCAGGAAGGCAGGGGATGCCTGGCAGGAGGGGAGCAGAGCTGTGCCCGTGTCTGTGCCCCTGCAGAGGAGCCTGGGAGGCAAATCCCGGCTGGGGCTGCCCCGGAGCAGCCCGGGCAGGGGAAGGAAGCAGCGGAGGGACACACCATTGTTCTGCCCCTGCAGCTCTCAGGGCAAACAGGAGGGAGCTCGGCGCTTTCCTGTGTTTGTGCTGCCAATATTTTCATTAAGGTCCTTTTTCCTACCTCTCTGCAAGGCCTTTGTGCCTCTAATAAGTGCAAGGGGGGTGTTGATCGTAAGCGTCCCCTCAGGCATAATTATTTTACCATAATAGCATTTACAGGGAGGGCTTGCAGGGCTATTTTCCTGTTACATCCTCTGTATTTCAACCTCTCTTTCACTTTTTTTTTTGCCTCCTCAGGCTGCCCCAACAAGCCCTTGTAAGGTCTCCGTCCCTGCAGCACAAGCCATGGTGAACTGGTGAGTCCTGAAGAGATAGCTGAGGGTGAAAATAGGAATATTTGATGTTACCCAGCAACTGGAAATGAAGATATCTTTTGTCCACCAAGTCAGGAAACACTGTTTGCACAAGAGCTGTGTTTGTCTGCTCTGGGGGAGTTAACCAACAACCCCTTCCAGGAGATTAGAGTGATGTAATAAACAGGAGGAAAGTCAGCAGCAGAGATTATTGGAGCAGGTAAATCAGGTCCCTGTCACCCTCAGCATCCCCTGATGACTGCACTGAACTCTTGCTGTGTGGGGGAGGAAATAACAGGTAAATAAATATGAAATAAATACAATAAATATAAAATTGAGAAGATCTGGAGGAGCCAGGAGCAGTTTTTTGTGGTGGTGGTGGCAAGGTGAGGAATGTCTGTCTTAGGATGAAGAGCACCCTGTGCCCTCCTGTCCCTCTGAAGCCCTAAAGGATGTTCCCCTATACCACTGTCTTGGGGAAACAATCCCTGGACTGGCCCCACAGCCCTTCAAAGGGCTGGAGAATGCTGGATCTGTTCAGTGCATGCAGAGCCCTCTGGATGGAGGGAAGCTGGGCAGTCCTGACAAGGACAGTCACTGCCACAAAGGGTCCCCCAGCTGAGCTGTGGACTGGCCCCACAGCCCTTCAAAGGGCTGGAGAATGCTGGATCTGTTCAGTGCATCCAGAGCCCTCTGGATGGAGCTGGGCAGTCACTGCCACAAAGGGTCCCCCAAGTGACAAGACTTGGTCCTGTATCCCAAGCTGGTGATCTTTTTATTGCTGGCATTTTTTCCCACATGAAATACACAGTTGGAAGGAATGAAGCCATCCAAAACCTCCAGCTCCTGCTCTTAGTATCAAGCTTAGGATAAACACAAATTTCCTGTGGAAAAAAGAAAAACCCATAGTAAAAAACCATGTTGGTGTGGCACTTCAAAATATGGTTTAGGGCCATGGTGGGATTTGGTCAAAGATTAAACCTGATGATCTTGGAGGTCTTTTCCAGCCTTTATGATTCCATGATTCCAGATATATTGGGAGAACTTCAAGGCATCTCTGAACTAATTTGTTTTAAATTAAACTTTGTTTAACAGCATTTTCTAGTGCAGTCCACTTAATAAACAAATGCAGCTGACACAGCTAGGATGGAAATATATTTGTCATTGTGTGGTGCAAGACTTCCCTGCCCTGTGAGAAGGAGCCTTACCAAGAACTGCTCCGATAACATCTGACCAGAGGAGTCAGAGAGGATGAGTGTGAAGGCCAAGCCTTGCTTGCATCAAAATCCCAGTGGGTTTTGCTGGAGGAGCTGCCATCACATCCAGCCTGGAAGGCAAATCCCAGCTCTCTCCCTGGCTGCCCCGTGCACACAGGGCTGCTTTGTTCCTTCCCTCTGCTCCCTGCCCACCCAGCCCTCTCCTCTTCTCCTCACCAACACATTCATCAGAGCCTCGTGGCTGAGGCCTTTGTTCTGTGCCTGCACAGGAAGGCCTGGGCTCATGGTTCACATTCCTGCTGCCAGCATGGGATGATCTTTATTGACAAACCCATTATTGATCCAGCTCCCTCCAGGAGGACTTTCACCTGCTCCAGCTCTGGCCACGCTGTGGATTTGCAGGTGATGTTTGGATACAAACACAGATAGGCTCACAATCAAACCCTTCAGGGATGTGCCCTGTTCCAGTTAATATTAAACACCTCTGGAGATATCTCTGCATTTCTCCAGGCTGGGAGGAACCTGCTGCATTCTTCTCATAGCTTCTTTGCAGGTACTGAAATAAAATCCCTGACCTGGATCCCTGAACAAAGCCCCTCTTATTCAGCCAGGTCAGGGGGAGCATCAGATTTCTGATCCTCTCCATCCCAAATTTTTCTTGGATGGAGATGTGGGGTTTGACCCCATCACAGGGGATGAAAAACCCATCCCAGCCTCAGCTCAGCCTGCCTGAGATGGAGCGTGTGTGCACAAACACTGCTGAAATTAAACTCCCAGAGTTCAAAACCTCACTGTCTGAAAAATGTTATGTGAATCCATTTCCCTCTATTTCTAATAAAACAATTTGAAAAAAAGAAAAAAAAAACCAGCACATTTTCTTCCTGTTACAATATAATGTTGTTCTACATTATGCTGTTCCAGCAGTTTATATAAATTTCTACAAATTTAATCTGTACATTGCTTTTTGATGGGTGAAGCACAGCACCTGTATTCCTTTCTCCCTACTTTCTCCAAATGAATCCAAACCACCTCCCAAGCCAGGCCTGGATCACTCTGAAGATGTCAAGGCCCACACAAAGATCCTTCATCCAGCCAGGTTTGGGAAAGCCCCCAAAATGCTCATTTGGGCCCATTTCAGTTCACTCCTGGATCCCAGGCTAGGGATGTGCTGCCATCCAGGAGCTTTCACAGCCCAGAACCTGTTGGGCTCGTCTTGCTCCCAGATTCCTGCTCAACCTGCCAGGAGGAGACGTTTCAGCCAGGCAGCCTCCTCAGCTGCATGGACAGAGCAGAGCAACACTTCCAGCCTTTCCTCCCGGGCCAGACCTGCCCTGGCTTCTGCTGGATTCACCTTGAGCTTCCTCTCCTCTTCCTGGCCTTGGAGGCTCCTCCCTGCTCCAAACCTCTGGAGTTCCTGATGCTGCAAATGCACCTCTTCATCCTCCTGCTGCCAACCCAGCCCAGAATTTGCATTTCCCACCCAAAACCTCAGCTGGGGCCAAGGTCCACCCCAGAAATGTCCTCGTTTTTCGCCACCATGAAGGGACCAGCACCAACGCGCCCATTTCCAGCAGCACAGCAGAGGCAGAGCCAGGGAATCTCCCCTCCTGGTTTGTGGGACAGGCCAGAGAGGCCTCAAGATGTTGCTGTGACCCTGAGGTGACGTCTGGGGTGGAAAGGTCACAGCCAAGCCGCTTGCAGTGTTTCCCCTCCAAGCCCAGCAGCCACCAGCAAGCTGTGCTGGGCGCTGGGGCTGTAATGAGGAGAGCAAATATTATCCTCCATAGGTGCCACCAGCTGCTGCTGCTTTGAAATGCTGGGAGAAAAGCCTCCTTAAATAGTTGGGATTCCTCCCACCAGCACAGGGATGAGAGGAATAATATTTGGGAGAGGAACACACCCCGAATGACAGCGTCTGGGTGAGGGTGGGAAGCAGAGAGCAGCCGGCATCTCCCGGCCACAGATGGTTCCCATCAAGAGGAATTTTTTCTTGTTAATCCCAAAACAAGCTTGAGATGTATTTTTATTTCAGTGTTAAGAGGAGAGAAAAAGAAAGTCTGACATGACCTCCTGTTTTTCTGGCCTCACTCCCTGCTCAGCCTCTGCTCTGAGCAAGCACAGAATATTTAGCTCATGTTAAAGGCAGGGACTCTGAGAACAGAAAATCCTGGGGTGTTCTTCCAGCTCTTCTTCACCTGGGAATTTATCCCATTCAAGGTGGAAATGGAGGTAAAAATCTAAAGCCTGGGTGTGTATTTGAAGTATCCAGTGGTGTTCTCCGGGGGTTCATCAAGGCACAGAGGACAACAAGGTGCCTGTGGGTGTCAGCAAGGGTGTCCATTCTTTCTTTTAAATCTTAAACCTGCTTTGAGCACCAGGGGTGAACTCCTGAGCCAATCCACTCCCAGAGCCATCACAAGAGCTCAGGAGCATCTCTAGCTCAAAAAAGCCCAAAAAACAGTGATAAAAATTGCAATCAGTGGGAGGACTGGGAATTCATTCTACTCAAAAGACATCCCAAAAGCTCTGCTTTGAGAACTTGCCTGGCATTCCTCCATGGCCTCCCTGGCGTGTTGGGTGCCCTGGTACCACAAACTTGCTCTGAAGGAGCTGCCCAGAGGAACCCCTTGGCATGTCCCAGGAAGTTTCCAAGGACAGCCATGGGTTGGGGATGTGGCACCCCTCCCAAATAACCAGGTGTGGGCCATCTGAAAGGATTCACATGGAAGCAGGAAACAACTTTTCCTCATGGAGTGACACTTCTGGTCCATGGTGGTGGCCCAAGCAACCCTACAAGGTGGTGATCTCTCAATGGGACTTTTCTTTCAGACAGAACTTCCTGGGATATTTACACCCCCAGATGAGACTGGGCATCCCCCCCTCCTCTCTGGCAACTCCCTGGAGTGACTCAGGATGTGCAAACACTGACTCATCCCAACCTCCCAGGAGCACTGAGCTTCCCACACGCTCCAAGACAGGGTGGTGGGAGAAGGGAAAGGCTCCATGGGGCTCCCCTGTGCCCCGAGGGAGGGCTGCAGATCCATCTGCAAGGTGAGGCACTCAGGGCAGGCTGGGGCAGCCAAGGACACTGTGCACAGGGGTGTACAGAGATAAGGGCATCCTGGTGTGGGAGCTGCTGCCCAGTGTGGAAAAAATGGAGTGGGAGCTGTCCTCTAGGACGTGCTCTTCTGGCTCAGGATTGGTTTAGGAAGGAGGATTTGAAGAGCTGAGGAAGAGGAGCAGGAAATCCAGGGTTGGTGTCTGGGCAGCTGCGAAGGGTGGTGGCACTTGCGAAGTCAGCTTGGCTGCACAAATCCTGGATTTCATCAGGATGTGATTATTCCACACAAGGGTAAAAATATGTGATTCCTGCAGCAAACAGCACCACTGAAAAAGCTGCCAAGCTCTCCAGTCTGTGACCACCCACTGCAAATCCTGCTGGAAAACTGTGGAGGAACCTGGATCTGCTCGCCAGGGATGAGGTGGATGGTTCTCCTGGAGATCTGAAATTTAAATGGACATTCAGATGCATAATTTGCCATCCTAAAAAAGCTCTTTCCTCACGCCATTGCACATTGTGGGGACAGAGCTCCCTGACCAGTTTTGTATGTGAGCCAGAGCACATTTGGCATTTCTCCTCTTTCAGCCCTGGGAAATGGTCAAGTCCAGCTCCTGTCCTTGCACAGACACCCCAAATCCCAGCCTGGGCATCCCTGGGAGCTCCTGGAGCTTTGTGAGGCTGTGCCCATTCCCTGGGGAGCCTGGGCAGTGCCCAGCACCTCTGGGGGAAGAACCTTTCCCTAAATCCAACCTAAACCAGCCCTGGCACAGCTCCAGGGTCCTGTCCGACACCAGGGTCCTTTCCCTGCTGTTCCAAGGGGGCAGGATGGAGCTGGACACATCTCCAGGTGACTCCTGCGGAAGTGAGGGATCCTGAGTGTTCCCCCTTCACAGCAAAGCAGAAGGGATGTGAGATGTGACATCCCTGCCCATCGCTGGCCATCAAAGATTACAGCCCAGCCAGGCCACCAGGATTGTAGGAGTCAATCCCATTTAAGCCCTTCTATTTAAAGAAATAAACTACCCAGGGAAAAAGCAGCCTAAGATTAGAAACACACAGGATTTCCTCAAATTCCAGCCATCAGCCCCAGATTCAGCCTGAAGGGGTGGTTTGTTATTCTCCCAGAGCATGAATCCTGCACCCAGCAAAGTTAAGTTTGGATTATGCTGCAGCTCCATCACAGACCCAAAAGGACACTCAAAGCTGGTTTAGTGCTGCTCTTTCTCTGCCTAAACCATCTCCAGTATTCCTGGATTTAAAATATTTTTTTAGGCTTTTTTGCACAAGCAGGGGATGTTTCATGCAAATTCCACATCCTCAGGAGGATGCTCCTGTGCAGGAGAATCTTTCAGAAAATTTAATGCTAAGCAGGGTGGGAAGCAGAAATAAATGTTTCTTCTTTTTCTTGTTTTGGGTAGGAAAAGAACTCAGAGACCACCCATTCCATGGGCAGCAGGGACACCTTCCATTGTCCCAGGCTGCTCCCAGCCCTGTCCAGCCTGGCCTTGGGCATTTCCAGGGATCCAGGGGCAGCCACAGCTTCTCTTGGCAACCTGTGCCAGGGCCTCACCTCCCTCACAGGGAGGAAGTTCTACCAATATCTAATCTAAAATCTCTCCCCTCATTTTAAAATGACACAAAGGATGTGGGTAACCCAGACAAAGTCACCCTATGCTTTGTGCCTCACCAGCCAGGAACTGAGAAGTCATTTGGGATTTGATCCCTGGCTCTGCTGCTTCTCCCTAAACTGGGTGAAACTCCAGCCTAACTTATCTTAAAGCAGGAAAATATAAAGGCTGTCCCTAAATGGATCCCAAAGGAATGAGGGATTCCTTCTGCCCCAGCACTGCAGCAGGATGGGAGCAGTTGCTTTTTCCAGGCATAGCACAAGGGGGTGACTCATTCCTGGCAGGAATTTCCCTCTCACCCATCCCCTCCTGCCCCTCTCTCTGCCTGGAGATTTCCCCCCACAGCAACAAGGGGTGAGGGCAGCTTAAGATCAGCCAAGAAGCAGAGATCCTCCCTGAATCCCCTGAGTTCAGCTGGGGACGTGTCCAAGAGGTGCCCACTCCCTCCCAGCTGTGTGTTTTGGGAAGGAGGGAAGGGGAATTCTGAATACTGGGCAGAGCTGCCCCAGCACGAGGGTAGGGAGACTGGGCATCAAAAGAGAGACATCTCATGTGCCAATTGTCCCTGTGGTGGCCTTGAGGTGCAGCCAAGGCTGGGCAGGGCACGTGAGGGAGCTCAGGAAACCTCAGCTCAGCTGCATGTGCACAAACAGGTCCAGCAGGAGCCATCCAGGATGACCACGCAGCCAGGCAGCCCATGATTCACGGGATAACCATCTGCTGAAGCTGCAATCACTCATTTTCCACCTCCACTTCTCCTCCAGGCCAAGTGGCAAAGCCACAGGGGCAGAAGGTGCCTCTTGCCATGGCCACCAAGCAGGAGCTGCCAGGGCTGGTGACACGAGACCTTAACTCAGGATTCACACAACACCAATGGCTCCAGCCCTGTGGGATTCACACAACACCAATGGCTCCAGCCCTGTGGGATTCAGTAGGGCCAGGGTAGCCTCGGGGCACACATCAGTTTCTCAAGGTACAGAACCTGGAATGAGATCTTGGAAAGCTGGAGATGGAAGGAAGAGTCCAGAGGAGGACCTGTTTTTCAGGAAAATAACAGAGAATCACAAACTGGTTGGGTTAAAGGAACCTTAAAGCTTATCCAGTTTTCATGGGCAGGGACGCCTTCCACCTTCGTCCCAGGTTGCTCCAAACCATGTCCAGCCTGGATTTGGACACTTCCAGGGATCCAGGGGCAGCCACAGCTTCTCTGGGGACCATGTGCCAGGGCCCCACCACTGTTAGCCAAGAATTCCTTCTAAATATCCCACCCTCTTTTGGTTCATAACCTCATCCTACAATTGTTCCAGGGATCCAGGGGCAGCCACAGCTTCTCTGGGCACCCTGTGCCAGGGCCCCACCACTGTCACAGCCAAGAATTCCTTCTAAATATCCCATCTAAATCCACCCTCTTTTGGTTCACAAACTCATCCTACATCCTTACCCTGACAGATGCAGCAGCTCAGGATACAGGAAGGGCAGAGATGTGTCCCCCTCTCCAGGGGTGCTTTTCCTTCACCAGTTATCCCAAACACACCACATCTCCCTTTTTTTCCCCCACTCCGGGCAGCCACAGCTTGGACATCAGTGGAAAATGATTCCTTGAGTGAGTGTGGCTGGATCAGCTGACTGGGCTGGCTGCAGCAATCTCGTGGTCACAGAGCTCTAAATGTGCAGCAGTGCCTGCCTAAGCCTTTCCGTTTATAGGACAGAGAGGGGAGCTGGGAGTGTGGAAATAAATCCTTTGGAAGCAGAAGGGGTTTGGAGACAGAACAGGACTCCCCAGGGGAAACACATGGGGGTGCAGAGAGGGTGGGCAGCAAGCACAGATCAGGCATGGGATGGAGCTGATGGAGCATCACCAACTCTGTGCTTCTGATGAGCCGAGGTCAGGGAAGGGCACAGAGCTCTGGGAACTGGGATGAGAGTGCTGGGGCTGGGTCCTGCCTGCCAGCCTGGGCTGGGGAGGCAGTGCTGGAGTGCTCACAGGAGAGTGAAACCCCCTGCCTGCCTCCCTCCTGCAGCCTGGCTCATCTCTCTGACCCCTGGCCTCCCCACAGGAGCAGAACTCCGGCTCTAGAATCAATCCCAGCTGACTCCCTGCTCTTCCCTGGGCGAGCTGCCATGCCATGATAAAGCAGCTCCTCCCTCCAAGGCAAGCCCCTGAGCTGCAGCTCCTTGGGAAGGCAGCCTGGTGATGGACTGTGTCAGGGAGTAACAAATGCCTTTAATTCCCCCTTCAGGCAGCAGCTCCCTGCGGGAGGCAGCGTGTCCTGAAGGAAGGCAAGAGGGAGGCATCTGGAGCTGTGTGCACAGGGTAAATCACCCCAGCCAGGCTCCAAGAACCCTGACAGGCTCTAATTTCTCTCTCCTGGATAGATACAGCGTAAAACTTGCTGCTTCACTTGGTTATCCCAATGCAAGGGGCTCTAAGCAATCCCTGAGTTACCCTGCAGAGATTTTCCTCGCTGCTGGCAATTGCAAATTCAGGAGAGGAGGGGATGTGAGCAGGAACTGCTGCTGAGGTTTCATCTCAAATATCCATCCCCTGAGCATGAATGTTTCGTGTCAGTCCTGTAGGGGTTTTCCAGGTGGATCAGTGGGGTTTGCTGGCATTGGCACCAGCACCACTGGGGCTGTCAGCTCTGATCATGCACAGCTCAGGGCTCACTGATGACCCAGAACAGGCTTGGGCTCCATCCAGCTCAGATCCAGCTAATTGAAGGAAATAAAACAATTCCCTACAAGCCAAACCCCCTTTCCTGGGTGCTGTTTACTGGGAGGCTGCAGTTCTGGACCAGAGCTGAGTGGGAGACCTGAAGGATATCACTGCAAACCCCCCTGGGAGCTCCAGCCTTGTGTCCTGTAGGAAGCCAGCCCTTGCCATTCCCTGCTAAAGGGATTGCCTGCTGCTTGTGCATCCTGGCACATCCCTGGGGACACATGGACATGCCCCTGAAACAGAGAAGCTATGGCTGCCCCTGGCAGTGTCCAAGGACAGGCTGGACAGGGCTTGCAGCAGCCTGGGACAGTGGAAGGTGTCCCTGCCCATGGCAGACACCATGGATGATCTTCAAGGTCCCTTCCCACCCAAACCATTCTGTCCCATTATGATTGTGTGATTTTATATGAGAGCTGCTCTGAGTCACTCCCATCCCCACAGTCTTTCTGCCAAGATTCTCCTGCAGATATTTGTCTCTCTCTTTCTGTCCCTGGAGAGAGACAAGGAAAGATTCCTGGCATGGGAAAGAGAAAGCCAGTTCACATAATCCTCATGGCAATTGGGATTTGGGCAGCCTGGGGAACCCTCTTCAGGAGAAGAGGATCCTGCAGGTTCCTCAAAGAGAAGGAGAAGGACTCCCTCTCTCTGCTCCCAGGCAGAATAGCATCTTTGAAACTGAAACCTGGAAATAAACAAGGAATTTCCTGACATGCTGCTCGGGCACCCATGCCATGCTCCCACAATTTGGGGTTATCTATACAATCATCTTATTTCTAGTGACAAATGTAATAAATAACAGTTGAAATTATATTTGGCAGAGTCCAAAATATGTTAAGTTTCCCTTCCAGGCCAGGCTGGATAGGGCTTGGAGCAACTTGGGATAGTGGAATGTGTCCCTGTCCAAAGCAGGGGTTGGCACTGGGTGATCTTTAAGGTCCTTTCCAACCCAAAACAATAAAAAACAACAAAACAAAAATGCCAGGGGCTTCTACATCCATCCTTCCTTCCTTTTTCCCTCCTGACGGGCAGGTTGGACGGGGCTTGGAGCAACCTGGGATAGTGGAAGGTGTCCCTGCCCATGGCAGGGGGTGGCACTGGGTGATCTTTAAGGTCCTTTCCAACCCAAAATGAGAAAAAACAACGAAGCAAAAATGCCAAGGGCTTCTACATCCATCTTTGCTTCCCTTTTTCCCTCCTGACCTGCTAGCCTCACTCCTCTTGGCTCTGCTTTTCTCCTTGCAGCAGGGAGGACTGGCCTGGAAGAGCATGATTCCCAGTGCAAGGGGAAGGGGAGACACCTCTCCCTGGCAGAGGGGGCTCCCAGGACGCACTGCTGGGGCACATCCCGAGGCTGTGCGCTGGAGACCGAGCCTTTCCTGCTCCTCCTCCCGGGATTGGGGGCTGGGGAAGGCTGGAGCCAGCCCGGGATGGTGCCGGAGCTGGGCAGCGGGGGGAGCAGCGAGACCGGGACACGGGGACATGGAGCGGGAGGGTGGAATGTCCCTGCCCGCCTGGGGAGAGATTCCCTGGATTCCCTGGGGCTCGGGGGGTGGTTTGGGTTTGGGGATGCACGGAGGGGATGTCGTGGAGCTGGGTGGGATCCTGGCTGGGCAGTGCTCCCTGGGGAACCCCCAAAAGGGGAGCAGGGCCAGGGGCAGGGGCAGTCCCTGCAGGGGAAGCTGTGCCCAGGGCTGGTGTGGGTGGGAGCAGGGTCTAAACGGGTCCTGCAGTGCCCTGACTGGATCTGTGTGCCCCCAGCTCTCTGTAGCTCCTGAATCCCAGCCAGCCTCTCTCTGTCTCCACTATTTTTAAATCCATCTATTTCCGCTGGTCTCTGCTTTGGTGCAGCCTTTTCCACACTGACACTTCTGCAGCCCAGAAATCCCAAATATTCTCATTCTCCCAAGTGTTTAAGCACCAGCTGCACTGGGGACCAGGGGAGCTCAGGGACAGCAGTGCAGGGGCTGTGCTGTTTATTGTGGGTTCGTGGCACTTTCTGAAGCATGGGAAACTCATGGCCACAGCCACACAGAGCCAGAAGTGAATTCCCAGTGCAGGATCCAGGGCGTGGGACTGGAGCTGGGACCGGAGACAGAAACCCTGGTGGCAGTCAAGGCTGGAGGAGGTTTTTCACCCTGATCCCACCCTCAAGGACAGTGGTCCTGCTACCCCAGCATGGCACCAAGGCACACAATGATCTGTTTAGCTGAAGCCAGAGCACTGGGATTTTCCAGCCAATGGGACAACACAGGTGATGAGGCCCTGAAGGACCCCTGGAGTGCACAGTGCCATGAGCCCAGGGCTTCTCATGCCCACAAGGATTTGTCTGCACTGACTCTACACCAGCCCTGTGGTGCCCAAGATTCCTGCAGGGCTTTCTGGGTGTCTCCCCACCCTGCCCCACTTCATACCTGCTTCCACAGGGTGACCATGCACCTTCCTGCAAATGCCAGGGAAGTCAGGAAAGCTCCAGGCAGTGATGAGTTGCTGGATTCATGGCATGTAGTGAATCAGAGACAGAGCCCAGGGTGGATTCATTGTGCATCCCACATTGATGAACTTGCCTCCAGCAGATCTAATTATTCTACTAACTGAAATTAGGGAGAAAATCATAGTTAAATTGTTAATTCATCAAGACAAGTGCCATCACAGTCACTGAAGATATTTCTGGATTTGGGGAGGTGAATTTGGAAAATGAAGACCACAATGAACAAATTGCAGTTTCTCCATTATTTTGCATGTACAGCACACAGCTTTGTTATTGGAAACTACAATAATCAGAACTGGGAATTCCATATCCAACAGAAATCCTTGGAAGTTCAGGATTTGAGTGTTTCCCTCCCACTGTGCATCCTGAAATGTTCAAAACTCAGGAGCTGCCTTAAGTTCTTTGCTGCTGCTTCTCTGTGTTCAGGCAGCAAAGGAGCTTGAAATAATTCCCAACTGGATGGGGCTAAGCCAGATCCAGGCAGGAGAGGAGGAGGGCAGCTCTAAGAGGCTTTGATTCACACATGTCTTTATAACCACAGCGTCCCCTGGGTCCCAAACCAGGAGTGATCCCTGGGGATTCAGGTCTTGACGTCAAAGCCAACAGAGTCCAGAAGTGCAAATGATTTCAAAGACTGAATCCAAGCTGTTTGTGCACGGCTGGGAAACATCCAGCACCTTCCTGAAGGGAATCAGGAGTGAAACAACGACCCTCATTCATCTAAACCTCCCACCCCACCTCTCCCAAGCACCTCTGCCCCAGGCTGAACAAGAGACCTTCTGTACAAAGCCAAATTCAGCAGCTCTGATGCCTCCTCCAGTGTTGGGAACAGCCTGTCAGATCCAGGGACATGGAGGAGATGTTCAGTGTGCTGAGTGCTGGGCCAGGAGCTTGGAGTGTGCAGAGAGAGGCAGCTCCTGCACCTTTTCCCACTGTGGGAAGCACAGTTTGGGCATCCACACTGGGGAAAGGCATCAGTCATGGTCCCACAGGCTACAAAAACACAAAGCAGAGCCTGTTCCTGCCTGGGGTTTACAGCACAGTAACCAGGAGCAGGGAGAGAAGACAAGGATACAGAGGCTGCTCTGTAAATCCAGGCGATCCTTGGCCATGAGATCCATCTCTGCTGGATGAGATTGGAGCTGGGATAATCCCACACAGAGCAGCTCCACATCCTGGGGTCCCAGCCCTCGGCAGAGTGTCTGTGCAGGGAGGGAGAAGATGCCTCTGGGACTCCCTATCAAGTCCTCAGCATCCTTGTGGAGAAGGAAAGCAGCACACACCAGCCTGGCTCTGACTGTGCCCCAAACTCGCCTTCCATGCCTCAGTCTCCCCAGATTTTACAGAGGATAATCAGCCTTGCCCAATTTTATAAAATCCTGGGACATCTGCAGATGCAGCTCTGATGTGATGAGTCAGATCTGCCTTGTGTGACTCAGCTGGCAGATCCCATCCAACAGCCACGGAGCTTCCCTTGCTCCAGGATTCATACCTTGTGTTCTTACTACCAAGGACATGACTGTTCCCAAAACTAAACATGCCCAAGAGTTTCTAAATGCATTTGGGAAGACCAGGAAAAAGCCCTTCTAGCTTCATTCTGAAACAGAGAAAAGTTCACTGGACCATCCACAAGTTTCCTCCCTGCAAATTACAAAAGACGGAAAACAGAGAGCGTGTTTTGTTTCTAAAATTAACATCCCTAAGGCAGGAATGTGGCTCTGCAACACCAGGAGCTGTGGCAGGACAGGGATGTGACCCTGGAAAAGTCTTTAATGTGCAGATACAGCCCAGTGGCAGCTGGAATAAAGTGTGAGTGGCTCCTTCTGAAGCTCCCAGGAGCAGGCGTCGCTCTGCAAGAATGCAGCGGGGTTGCATCATGTGGGATCCTTGAATCTTCCAGAAATCTGCCACTTCTTCCCTGCCAGATTTTCATGGGCAATCTATAAAGTAGCTGGGAAAAACACACTGCAATTTTCTGCTGGCATATTTGAAGCAGGCAGCAATATTCAGGCTAAGTGGGGTTTCATCACACAGGGAAGATGTCACTTTTTTCCTAAAGGTCCCTGGCCTTGGAGATACATCCTGGAATACATCCTGGCCTCTTGCAGACATATCCTAAATTTCCATGTTATGGGTTAAGTCCCCTGACCCAATCTGGACCTATAGCAAGGGACATCTGCCTTCCAAGTGGGTGCATTTTGTCATCCCAAGCAAAGCTGCAGTAGCTCAGATCTGGACACAAACTGGTTTGGTCCCATCAGATCAGCATACCATCCCCAGGGTTGGGGCAACCATGGCCCAGGAAAAGTGGGGAAGGATGAAACCCCTTTTCCTGTTTGGTTTTACACTAAAGCAGAGATTTTAGATTAGATATTGGGAAGGAACTGTTCCCTGGGAGGGTGGGCAGGCCCTAGCACAGGGTGCCCAGAGAAGCTGTGGCTGCTCCTGGATCCCTGAAGTGTCCAAGGTCAGGATGGACCTTGGAGCAAACTGGGACAATGGAAAGTGTCCCTGCCCATGGCAGGGGTGGCACTGGATGTGCTTTAATAGTACATCCAACCCAAACCAGCCTGAGATCCTGTGATTCCTGCTGTATCTCTCTGGGCAGCTTTTCTGCTGCCTCTGCAAGAGCAGAATAGGCAAAGAGGCTGCCAAGGCCCCTCCTATGCATCCCTTTGCTTACACATCCCCAGCACTTGGCTGAGGAGGAGGAGTGCACACGCTGTTTGTTCCTGCTGGACCACTGCCCAGTGCTGAGCCCAGCGTGTCCTTCCTGGGATTCATCCCTCCCCTCCTCCTTTCCTGCCTTCCAACTGCTGCACCAACCCCCCAAAGTCCCCAGGGCAGCAAACCCAGCAGCCCCAGCCCTGTCCTGCACCAAGCCCCCTCCTTCCTCTGCCATCAACAGCGGCAGTTTTAGCACTTGGCTTGTTGGGAACCTGATTTCCAGCACAGAAAAGACTTTTAGGGACAGCAGTAGGACTGGGCAGTTGTGTGACACACTTGCACACACAGCACAGGCTGAGCCCACCCCGCCTCCAGCCCTGAGCAGTGCTGTGCTGGAAGCAGAAGATTGGCTGCTGAGGATCCCTCTCCAGGCCAGGCTCGGGTTTAGGGGCGTTTCTGTTCCCTCAGCTGGCTCCAGAATGAACGGTTTCCTTTTATATCCCAGTTTCCTGAGGGGGGAGCGTGTGGGGCTGAGCCTCCTCTCAGCTTCCACCAAATGGGAAGGGCAGGCAGAGCTCAGACCTTTCACATTCCCATATGCTCCTGGAAAATGCCAGGAAGAGAAAAGGGGAGCTCAATGCAGCTTTTAACAAGAGAGGTGCCCCACCACAGTTCCACTCTGTGCAGAGCAGATCGACCACCTGGGCATTCTCTGCTTGTGTTTTCTAATAAAGGGTGAAAACCTGGAACTGGACATTCCTTGCTGCCTTTTTCCAGTGAATAAACTGATGTTGCAGCATCCCAAAGCCCTGGTGCTCTCACATCCTGTCCTTGAAATGGCCCCTGTGCCCGTGGGGCTGATGTGGCTGACAAACCAAGCACCTGCTTTTCCTTTTGGCTGCTTTTTGGGAGGATCCAGCCAGCCCCAGTCACTGTGAGGCAGAAGGGAGAGGGTAAGGAGTGCACATCACCAGTGCCCACCTTAGAACCACAGAGTTCAAGGTTGGAAAAGTCATCTAGGACCACTGAGTCCAAACATTAGCCTGGAAAGAGCATCCTGGAGTCCTCTTGGCTTGCCACGACCCCAAACCAGTGCTCCTGGATCAGTGTAGGAACAGCTCAGGACCCCACAGCCCCGTGGCTCCTCCCAAGGGATTGCAAATCCCTGCAGCCACATCCACAAAGATTCCATTCCTCCTGCCATAGCCCAGCTCCCAGGAAGGTGTGGGATGCAGGGGCTTGCAATCCAACCTGCCACCACCAGTGCTGGCCCTCTGCTGGGGCCACACAGATCTCATTCTTTCCACCCAAAAGCACCAGAGGAATTCCACCCCCCTGCCTCGCTGTGCTGGCAGGAAACCCTGTGGATTTTGAACTTTTCTCTGGGAGTACTAAACAGGGATTACAAACTGGGATCAAGGGAATCTCTCAGCACTGTGCCCTGTGGGAAAGCTGCAGCTGCAGCCCCTGTAGCCTGTCCTCCCTTGTTTGTGCACTGTGACATACCTGGATGATACCATGGATGGGGAATTTCCTCCATGGCAATCAGATCTTTTCCTCTTCCTTTTCCTCCTCCAGCACACCTGCTGAGGAAGCAAAAGGAGATCAGTGCTTTGCAGAGGATCCACAAATTTGCCCCTTTAGGACATGCAAACCCAGTGAGCTCCCTGGAAGCCTGGAGCTGGCACAGCAGGCTGGCACAGGAGTTTGGCTCTCACTGCTGCACTCCAGACAGGCCAGGGCACGGATCCACGGGGTGCAGCCTTTCTGCTCCACTGCCATCCTTTGTGTGCTGTCTGCTCACACAAAGCTGGGCCCTCCCAGCTCCAGCCAGGCCAGAGCTGGGCATGGCTGAGAGCCAGACAGGGGGAGAAGGGCTGGGATGCCACTCCAGTGCAGGGCACTGCTGCCACGGTGCCTGGGGCTGCACGAGTGAGCTCACAGTGCCAAAGGAGAGTGTGCAGGGAGGAAACTGAAGTGCTGAGGCCAAACTTATCATTGAGCTGAGCCAGGAAGAAGAATTCCCCCAAAATCTTTGCATGTGAGGACCTGAAGGAGCAGGCAAGCCCTGACTAGCTCTAGAGCAAGAGAGGGATCCAGGGAGAGCTCAGAGCCCCTTCCACTGCCTAAAAGGGGCTCCTGAAAGAGGGGGTGATTCTTCTTTTATAACGCCAGAAAGTAACATGACAAGGTGGAATGGCATCCCACTGCCAGAGGGCAGGGTTACAGGGGATATTGGGAAGGAATTGTTCCCTGTGTGAGTGGTAACACCCTGGCTCAGGGAGCCCAGAGAAGCTGTGGCTGCCCCTGGATCCATGGAAATGCCAAAAGCCAGGCTGGACGGGGCTTGGAGCAAGGTGGGACAGTGGAAGGTGTCCCTGCCCATGGGGTGATTTTAAGGCTCCTCAGTGCTGGCTCCTAGCATCCCTGCCCTCCTCAGCCATAATCCTGGAAAGCAGAGATCCTGCACCAGCACTGCCTCACAGCAGCACAGATGACAGGCTGTCTCCAGCACAGGAAAACAGGATGAGTCTCCTGGGTCACTGTGAAAGTGCAAAGCTGCTGGAGTTTATATTTAAAAAGTCCAGTCCAAAGAACACACAGTGTCTGCTTTCGTAGAAATGAACCACTCCTTCAAAAGATAATCAAGTGAATTAGTAACACTGCTTGAAACAAGAAGCCAAACAACCAGGGCAGCACCAATCTGGATGTTTCATGGCTGGGCATGGATTGTTTCCCACAGAACTGGACTCCTGGTACCGTTGGATTCCACACCCATTTCCAAGCACTGCAACAACAGCCTGGAAATCTCCCTCTGCTTTGTCTTGGGGGCTGTAGGATCACACCCAGGTCACAAAAACTCTGGGTGGATTTTAATTTAAGGCTCAGTGCATCTGCACTGCCCTAAACCCACAAAGCCAACCCATGCTGGAAATAACTCCAGACAAAAGAATCTCGAGTTCTGGCCTGCGCAAGTGCGGTTTGGAGGGGAGGAGCTGGCCTGGAGGAGGGGATGTGTCCCTCTGGCAGCTGGAACCACTTATTACATGAGCAGAGGAGAGGAAGACGGCAACTCCCAGTTTGGCTCCCCCTTCCCAGTCCCCATCCCACCGCTGGAGGAGCTCCTACGTGGCACTGTGGGGGCTGGGAGCGCCTGTGCACAGCCTGATGTGCTTGGAAATCACTGCAGGGCAGCAGCAATCCTCCCCAGCAGCGCAGATCAGCCTGATTTGCAGAACTCTGACCCTGGACAAAACTGTTCACAGTCAGGATGAAGCTGTTTGCTGATATTTTGGTAGAATTGACTCATTTGCTGCATATTCACATCCTACGGGGGTTTTTTGTGGCTCTCACCAGGTTGAGTTGGAGGACAGCAGGAACAGGTTGAAATATACACTTAAAAATCAGGAAAAATCTGAAATATCTTTATGCTGGGTTCCCAGCCCTCAAACACAACTATTTGCATTCCACTCCAAATTCATGTTATTGAGGCAAAGCCATTTCAAAGGACCAAAGCACAGAGCCCCCAGCGTGTCAAAGGACTTTGGTGCTGGGAGGCGGTGAAAGAAATCAAGATTAAAAGTTTAAGAGTTTATTTTAAATTTCACTCGGAAGGTGAAAAAATCTTACATGGGAAGTAATTGCAGAGCAGGGTTTGAAGGTGGAGCAATTCAGAATTTGGCAGAGAAAAGGAGCTGATGGAAGCTGGTGGAAGTTTAAAGGAGCTTTTCTCATTTCTCAGCTGGCACATGCTGCTGCTATAGACCAGTAACATTTACCTTGGTATTGACGGTTTGATATCAGCAAATTCATTTCTAATAAAGTCAAAATTGTGCTATAAAAACTCTGGGGGTCCATTGTTGATCATTTATGCAGAGATAAAGTAAAACTAACTGCACCAAAAGACAGTATTGTACCAAAATCTGTTGTCTAAGGTATTCCAAAGCTCTTTTTCCCACTGAATCCCTCCCTGAAGGGACCAGATTTCTAAACATCACTGTGCACCAGGTTTGTTGCAGCTGATGGAGACTATTTTTTTACAGGGAGGTCTCAAAAATCTCCCCTTGTTCAGGATGAGATGTATTTACTCACATGGCACCATCTGAACAGATCAGATGGAAGAAAAATGTCACTTTTTGAAGCTACCTTCTAGAATAGGTGGGCTATGAAGGGAAATGGAATGGTGCTTCCAAACCAAGATGCTTCCAAGACAACAAGCAGAATATTCAAAGCCAGAAGGAAAAATCAGATGCTGTTTGCTACTACAGCAACAGGAGGCTGAGATCTGCTGAGACTCCCGTCTTCAGAGAGAAGCAGAAAAGCTTGGCAGAGCCAAAATTAGGGGGAAAAATGAAATTACAGTGTGATTAAAAGGGAGACATAGACATCAATTAAAGAACACAAGGATGCAGCATCCTTCTGCTGATGTAACCATCCACGAGGGGGGTGGTACCTCAAATATCTCTCCATCCCAGGCTGCCATGAAAACAATCCTGTGCTGTCCTAAAACATGAGAGGGTTGGATCTGAGCTTCAGCACTTGTGACTCAGCAGAAACCTCTGCATGGCACAGTTTCTCTGGGCACCCTGTGCCAGGGCCTGCCCACCCTTCCAGCCAGGAGTCCTTCCCAATCTCCCATCCATCCCTGCCCTCTGGCAGTGGAAGCCATTCCCTGTGTCCCGTCCCTCCATGCCTTGTCCCCAGTCCCTCTCCAGCTCTCCCGGAGCCCCTTTAGACATTGGAAGGGCTCTGAGCTCTCCCTGGAGCCTTCTCTTCTCTCTTGGAGGTCACATTTCAGAGTCACATTTCAGATTCACGTTTCAGGATGGGGCAGGTGTCAAACATTGGCTGCCTGTGACTGCTCCAGTCGTGGCTGAAGCCCTTTGCACCACCCCTGACACTTCATATGGAGGGTGACAGCCCAGAAACAAACCAATCAATATATCACTACCTGCCTTTGGTGCCAACAACCATCCAGCTGCAGATGCCAGGGGCAGGGAGAGGATGGAAATAAGACGGACCAGAGCCCTGTTAGAAGGCAAAAGCACAGTTTGGGCAGGGAATAGTTCCCTGCTGGAGGCCTGGCCGGGCTCGGGCAGGGGACAGGCAGGGCAGGAGGAGGGAAGGCGCATCCCCCATCCATCCCGACCCCCCTTCTGCAGCGCGGGGCCGGCATTCCCTGCCATTGGCGGCGGGCCGGGAGAGAGCCGGGACGGATCCTCCCCTTCCTCTCCCTCCCAAGCATTTTTGAGAGGGTTTTCCCAAGTTTCCAGAAGTTTCTCCCCGGCCCCTTATATACCCCCTCCGCGGGACCGGGAGGTGCACAGGGAGCCGAGCAAAGCCGTGTCCCGACCCCGCAGGTAAGGGGGGCACCCGGGGGACCCCGGGCCGGCAGGGGGGAGACTGAGCTCACATTGCAGCAGGGCCAGGGGGGATTTTGGGGTCCTGGTTGGCAAAAAAAAATAAATCGGGGGCAGGGTTATGGTATGGGAGAAGGGGGTGCGGGGGGGAAGGCTGCAGTGGGGTGGGTGGAAGTGGGGTTTAGGGGTACGGACTGTGCCACGAGCTGGCTCTGCTGTTTTGAGGAAAAACATTAAAAAATCCCCCAATCGCCTCCAGTTTGCAAGAGGTGGTCACAGTGAAGCTGCAGGAAAAGCTTTCAGAGAACGAGGAAGAAGGAAAGGGGGATAAGGGAAGCTTTGGCTTGGTGTGGGTGAAATCCTGCAGCCTGGGAGCCTGCAGGACCCTGGGCACCATCCCAGCACAGCAAGGAGAGCTCTCCCTGCAGCCTCCGGCCACAGCACGGCCCGACCCTCCTGCTGCTGCCTTAACCGAGTGTCACATCCCGCTGGGGACACGGAAATGGCCTTCTGCCTGCTGTCCTCTGCCCTGCTCCTGGGAGAAATCACATCCCGCCAGGAAAGAGGGTCCCGGCAGCCGCGGGGAGGGCTGAGGAATGCCACGCTGGCACTGGGCGTCCCCTCGCCCTGGGAGCACAGGAGAGGATCTTGCTGGCTGTGCATTCCCCACATTCCCTCCATTTTCACCACGGGCTCTGAATTCACCCATAATCGCTGCCGTAATCCAAGAAAGGGCAAAATTTCTCCCATCTCGGGCTGTGTGACTCAGCAGAGCCCAAATCTGTCACCCTGCCCTGAAGCAATGAACTTTTTTCAAGCTGAGGATGAAGCAGTGCAGGCCACCCCCTGCTCGCAAGAGAACTACTCCATGTATCTGTTTTCTTTCAGAAAGAAAAAGGCAAACGTTGACCTCACTATGAAACAGTTTCAAGGTATCCTTAGAAATAAACGGGAAATAGAAAACCAGAAGGAGCCTCCCCACATTTCCACTGTTTGTCACCCTAGCTGCACTTTAAGAGTGTCGAGGGCAGTTTTGAGCCTGTTGCACAAGTCTTTGCTCTTGAGGCAGCTGGGATGGCTCTTCCCTTTAACAGAAAGGATTTTAGGTTGCAATTCCCACTCTGGCAAAGGGTCCCTGGTGGAACTGCGCACTCTCCTCGCCCGGGGCTACGTGCTGCGTGTTTCCTTCCATGTGTAATCCCAGCGGGCCCTTCGCTTCCTGCTCGGAATGCTTTAACCCTGCTGCAGCCTTCCCTGCCTCCCATGCCAGGGACAGCCCCTGAGGCCGGGCAGGAGCAGGGTGGGAGGAGAGGACCGAAAAGAACAGGTCTGCAGTGTAGTGAAGCAGTTCTTGTGGAGGAGAAAGTCCCCAAAAGCTGGAGGGGGAATTTAGGGCCTGAGGAGCTGCCTGCAGGAAGGTTTGCTGAGTGAGGGCAGGAGGGAGGGGAGCTTGGGGCCAGTTATGAGCCCCAAAGGGCTTCCAGGCACTTAGGACTGCTCAGTCTGTACATGGACCCGAGCTGGGGGCTCAGAGCCCTTGCTGGGGTGGGCTCACCTGCGTTGGGAGGAGATCCACCCACCTCGGGCACAAACTGAAGGCTCTGCTGGGGAAAATGAGGCTCCCACACCTCCCTCTGCCCCTGTACCTCCCGGCAGGGCTGGACAGGAGAACCAAAGCAGAACAGAGCTGATCAGAAGTGCAGGATCTTCTCCAGGGCCGCCTCCAGCTCTGCTTGGTGGAAGCTCACGTGCTCCATCTAGTGCCAAGGAATCCGAGGGTTTGGGGCCCAGGCCGGGGTCCCCAGAGAGGACGGTCCCTGCCATGCAGTGCCTGCAACAGCCCTTGGATCAAGGGGCAGCACAAAATGCTTTCAGCTTTCCCTGATCAGGGCAGAGGTTTCTTCTGCTCTGGGGACAGAATCATGGAATGGCTGGGTTGGGAGGGACCTTACAGACTACCTTTTTCCCCACCTGCCATGGGCAGCAGGGACACCTTCCCCTATCCCAGGCTGCTCCAAGCTCTATCCCACCTGGCCTTGGACACTTCCAGGGATCCAGGGGCAACCACAGCTCTGGGCACCCTGTGCCAGGGCCTGCCCACCCTCACAGGGAAGAATTCCTTACTAATGTCCAATTTAAACCTGCCTTCTTTCACTTTAAAGCCATTCTCCCTATCACATGAGAAATACCTGTTGCTTCCATTGCCTGACCCTTCCTTAAACCATTCACTGTACATTAATACTGGAATATAGGGAAACTGCTTAGGAAGGAAGCTTTCATTCCAAATGCACACCTCTGCCTGCCAGGGTGCAGCCTGCACTCCTGAAGATTATTTGCTGCTCAGGGTGGACTTGGGATGGCTGCACCCCAATGAAGTGTTGGGGCAATGTCACTGTCACTGCAGCAAGGAGTGGGTTTCTCCGGAGAGTCCCTGGGATGTCTGGATGCTCCAGGAAGGCTCTGGCTCATGCTGATGGTGAACCTTCTTGCCCAGCAGGTCCTGGGAGGTGCTGGGTGCTGCTGAAGCCATGTGGATTATGGTGGGGCTGGCCCTCCTGGGCCTCGCTGCGGCCGTGCCCTCGGAGGACAGGAAGCTGAGCGACAAGGCCACCACGCTGGCCGAGCGCAGCACCACGCTGGCCTTCAACCTCTACCACGCCATGGCCAAAGACAAGGACATGGAGAACATCCTGCTGTCCCCCGTGGTTGTGGCCTCGTCCCTGGGGCTCGTGTCGCTCGGGGGCAAGGCCACGACGGCGTCGCAGGCCAAGGCGGTGCTGAGCGCCGACAAGCTGAACGACGAGTACGTGCACAGCGGGCTGGCCGAGCTCCTCAGCGAGGTCAGCAACAGCACCGCCCGCAACGTCACCTGGAAGATCGGCAGCCGCCTCTACGGGCCCGCCTCCATCACCTTCACCGAGGACTTCGTCAAGAACAGCAAGAAGCACTACAACTACGAGCACTCCAAGATCAACTTCCGAGACAAGAGGAGCGCCCTCAAGTCCATCAATGAGTGGGCAGCACAGACCACGGATGGGAAACTCCCAGAGGTCACCAAAGATGTGGAGAAAACTGATGGGGCCCTCATTGTCAACGCCATGTTCTTCAAGCGTAAGTTCTACCTTCAGTTCTTGGAACATGTGACCCAAAATATGCCCTGAGCCAACACACAGAATCATGGAATGGTTTGGGTTGGGAGAGGCCTTAAAGATCATCCACCAGCCCCAAGGGAAGGTGGATGAATCCTAGGGCCACTGGAGGCAGCTCTTTGTCAGTGGCTGGGAACTGTGCATGGACTTACCGCCCATTCCCTTTTCTTACAAGCTGTGTTTCTCTCTCTCCTGTAGCTCACTGGGATGAGAAGTTCCACCATAAGATGGTGGACAACCGTGGCTTCATGGTGACCCGTTCCTACACCGTGGGCGTGCCCATGATGCACCGCACAGGTGAGTGGGAAAACCCCTGCCCCACACCAAGACCAGCTGGAGGTAGGATCACTGTTCTCCCTTACCCAGATTTCCACCAGCTGCTTCCAAGATTGTTTTGCCTCATGAGAGAGAACAAAGTAGAGGAGTGTTTGTTTTGCTGATTCAGTCTCCCTGTAAGCAGAGAGAATCCATGTTTACTATGAGCTCCTTGGCTGTTGGGAACAAATCCTGGCTCATTACACAAATGAGAGCCACAGCCAACTCCAGTAATGCTGGGCCACTTCCCAAAAGTGTGTCTCTTCCTTTCCTGGTCAGGGAAAGTCCAGACTGAATTAACTTTGCCTCTGGTCCACACCTCACTGTTCCCTGCTTCTGGTTTCAAGGTCTCTACAATTACTACGATGATGAGGCAGAGAAGCTCCAGGTGGTAGAGATGCCACTGGCTCACAAGCTCTCCAGCATGATCTTCATCATGCCAAACCACGTGGAGCCTCTGGAGAGAGTGGAGAAACTGCTGAACAAGGAGCAGCTCAAGACGTGGACTAGCAAGATGAAGAAGAGATCAGTGGCCATCTCGCTGCCAAAAGTCGTGCTGGAAGTCAGCCATGACCTTCAGGTAAGGAGGTCCTTAAATAGTTGGGCCTTGCGGTTCTTTGGGATGGGAGGAAAGACAGTGGGATATTGGGTTATGCACGCCTGCTGCCCCTCTTCCCTCCTGCACTGTGTCATCTCTGGGAGGGTCACTGACCTCTTGTCTCCTCCTAGAAACACCTGGGTGGTCTGGGCCTGACAGAAGCCATTGACAAAACCAAGGCTGACTTGTCCAAGATCTCCGGCAAGAAAGACCTTTACCTGTCCAACGTGTTCCATGCCGCGGCTCTGGAATGGGACACGGAGGGGAACCCCTACGACGCTGACATCTACGGCCGAGAGGAGATGAGGAACCCCAAACTCTTCTACGCTGACCACCCCTTCATCTTCATGATCAAGGACACTAAAACCAACTCCATCCTCTTCATTGGCAGGCTCGTGAGGCCCAAAGGCGACAAGATGCGCGACGAGTTGTAGTTGGGTTTGTTTTGGTTGGGTTTCTTTTTCCCAGAGCTTTGGTTTGTGTGTGTTTTTAGGGGGGCATTTTGACAAATGGGAAACACTATTTTGTATCCTTCTCGAACCATGGGTGCTATTCAGACCAGGGTGCATTGTGAGGAGAAACCAGCGTACACTTTACCTCACCCCAAACTCCAGATTGCACAAACCCACCTCCAGAGAGGAGCAGGGGAGCCTGGCACCAGAGGGTCATCGGGAGTCAGCTGAGGTGGCCACCTTGAAGCCGAGCTCCTCCCTGCACTGGTTAAGCCTCCTGCTCAGCTCTTTGCTGCTCCAACAGCCCTGCCAAGGCACCACCCTCCCATCCCAAACGCTTCCATCCCACTCCACGCTTAGCGCTCCTGCTTTTCCCCTGCTTGGGTGTCCTGTGGCACCACTGCTGCTTCCACTTCTCTCTTCTCTCTCCAGGGGTGTGTAACAGAGCTCCAAGGGCCAGCTGTGCAGTCCAGCCCCTGCAGGCCCTGGAGCAGAGCAGGAGGCAGCACGGGAGTATGGAGATTGTATGGAGTTGTGTCCTTCTGTCCTGCCTAACCCTGCGCTCTGCGCTTGATGCTTCAACCACAAGAGCTCCTTAAGGAGAGAATCAAAGCCAAGAGCAACTTGGATCAACACTTCATGGAGAACTAAGGGGCTTTGGGATGTCAGGGAGAGCTCAAAGCACAGCTTGGGTTTCTAGAAAGAGTAACCAGAGGTTCCTTAACACTCCACCCCTTGGGATCACTGAGGGGCCAACAGCTGTAATTGAACAGGCAGTTGTACCAGGCAGAGAACTCACTTCTCTTGGAAGTGCTCTGCATCAGCCTGTAGGGCTGGCAAAGACTCCATTCCCACTGCCAGGGCTCTCCCGGTTTGGGCCAGAGCTGGTTCCAATCAGCTCCCTGTGGAGCTGACCCAAGGCACTCCTGGCTGGCTTCTCACAGGGAAGTGGGATCAGGTTCACCTCCACTTTCTTGCTTAATTAAACACAAAGCTTTAAAGCTGCCATTACCTGACTTCCTAATTATGCTCTGCTGAAGCTCCATGGTACTTTAGCTCCCTGTCAGCTGACCTGGATAAGGGGACCCTGAAAAACAAAGGTATTTATAGTTATATTTATGTCTGATAATTAGCAGGTTTCACAGCCTGATCCAGGCTATTCCCAACTTCTCTTCAAGGGATATCATCAGGTCAGCACTATTTATAGGAGCTGATGTTATCCCAGGAGCATTGCAGCACTTGCCGCGCACTGAGAGACACCACAAGGCAAACAGTGAGATTATGGAAATGAGGAAAATCCACGCATCCCAATGGAATTGCCAGTTCCCTGAAACCAGCATGGAGCACCTACATGGCTTTGCTTTATGTCCCTGCCAATTTTCCCTGCTGCCATAGAAGCCCTATACTGCATATTCCCGGGTGCTGGGAGGCAGGAGGCAATGCCAGGTTGTCCCCATACGTGGGACACTTCCCGGTGATGCAGCGCACTGAACCCACACACAGAACGTTCTGGAGGCTGGGCTGGGGGGTGGAAAGGGCAAGAACACACTGTGGGATTTTGTGAATAATTTGCATCATGTGGATGCAGGTGTCTGATGGCTTTTATTGTCTGTTCTTGTACCACACGGTGACAATTGTGTAATTTTGCAATAAAACTTTTTCAATGAATCCCTGGTAGCTGGAATCCCTTGTAGAGCAAAATAAACTTAGGGAGGTTCCTTGCAATCCTTAAATCCAAAACACCATAAAGTGGTGGACAAAAATTACTCAATGCACAAGGTGAATTCCTATAGCACATCAGTCATGAGAAAGGAATGCTCTTAGCAGCTTTTCCCTTCACTGTTTTCTCCTGAAAGTGCAAATATCCAACACCTTAAATGCTCCACAGGTAAATGACCAATGCCCTGTCCTGCTGGGCCATTTAGCAGAATAAAAACTGAGCTGTCAGCCACAGGGACCAGCCTTCCTGACCCTCCAAACCAAAGCTCCTCCAGCTGGGATCTACTCCGGGGAAACGGAGGAAAAACTGCAGGCTAAAGATACCTTTCCCAAGCGGAAAATCCAGCACTGGCAGACCCTGCTAATCCATGTTCTCCAATTGCTGGGATGGGATGAGCCTTCTGCCACTCACAAGCAAAACTAAAGGCACAAACACGTTCCCTTTTCCCTGGGCAAGCACACAGAGCCCTGTGCAGCTCCTCCCACACTGGAAAAGCACCACGTGCTTCCTAATTTTCACTAAATTGGAATGACTGAAGCCACCTCCAGCACCAACCACAGCAGGATCACATCACCCTGGAATAGCAATATTGAAACTAAGGTAAAAGCTTTCCAGAGTTCCTGAGTTCATCCCATCCCCAGCTCATCTTCCAAGGCTTTTGTCCAAGGGAAGCACCCAAAAGACACAGGGAACTGAATGAGCTCCCTCTTTTGGAGCTTCTTTAAACAGCTCAGGGTGGTGGCAACTCCAGCCAAGACACGTGGACAAGGTGTTCAGCTCACATTTGGAGCCACAGCTGCTCTGGGCACCCTGTGCCAGGGCCTCCTCACTCACACAGAGAGGAATTCCATCCAAATATCCCATTTGTCCCTGTCCTCTGGCAGTGGGAGCCATTCCCTGTGTCCTGTCCCTCCATCCCCTGTCCCCAGTCCCTCTCCAGCTCTCCTGGAGCCCCGTCAGGCCCTGCAAGGGCTCTGAGCTCTCCCTGGAGCCTTCTCTTCATTACTTGCACAGCTCTTGACTCTAGCAGTGATCAGCACTGTGAGAATTAACAGGGTAATGGACAAGGCTGGAGAGCTTTTAATCAGTTAGAAGTGGAACAATCTCCCAGAAATCCAGCCCTCCCTGGGAGGCAGCAGGAGAGATTTCTAACCATCACCATTTACCACACAGTGTGTTAAGAATTTAGAGACAACATACAAAACCAGGTGTGACTTTTATTGCTTCAGATCTTCC